ACTGTCATATGACATCTCCAAACACGAAGGCAAAATGCAATTACTTCTTTGGGAGTACAGCCAGGTTTTGGGGGCTAAAAATCTTGCTCTTCAGTGCCAGGAGTCCTGTCAGGAACTTAAGAAGTTGGTGGCGAGGCGCTGTGCTGTTGCATTAAATTGTTCTTTCTTTGGGATCAGCAGAAAATTGCTTCCTGTGATTTTCCCTTTTGTCACTGTCACAGTCCAGGCACAGCTTTGCATTTACACATATTGGAAAGCTGACACCTCCTCAAATGCAACTGGTCTGCTTTAAGGCAGGCGGTATATAAGAAGGCTAAGAGCTGGCTGGAACAAAGAGAAGAAACGGGGTTAGAGCCATAAATCAAGCAGCAGGAGGTGGATGAGAGGCGGTGTAGCTTATCGGTGAGAACGAGGCTGGGATCATGTCTCCCAGTTCTGATGCTGGTGTGGATATGGTGTTGCTTTTCTCAGCCTCTGTTCTTTGTGCAACACAGGGATCATGCAACCTGTTTCACTAAAGCTTCAAAAATGCTAAGTACATTTATGGAAGAGGGAGAAGGAAGGGGCACCCTGAACTGATAAATCAGACCCTCTAACATCTTCCCATATTTCCCTACAGAGCTTTGACGACGGTGATTCTCGCTTGGACTCCACTGAATTCCTGAAGTTTGTGGAGCAGAATGAGACTGCTGTCAACATCACCACCTACATGGACCAGGAGACCAACAAGCTGCTCAGGTGGGTAGCGGACAGGATACCAGAAAGATGGCCAGCGGGCCAGATGTGGTAGAAGGCAGCATGAAAATCCACTCATGGAAATATCTGTTAGGGTAACAAAGATAGCTGTGTATGAAGTGGCTTCTCACTTAATTAGGTGTGAACACCACCAAACAGAGCAGTCCCACCCCTGACTGCAATGTGGTGTCTTTTTTTATTTCCTAATAAATTAGCTTTCCAGTGGACTTTACTCACCTCTTGCCTGGTAGCTAGATCCAGTGCAAGGAAGGTGGTGGGAAAACACAGCTCATGGGCAACCTGCAGTTAGAGTTGCTGCAAGCATCACACAAAAATGTAGTTTTGTTCTGAATATCTCCTCACATCCCAGCCCTTTGCCAGCCAAAGGAGTACCTTGTGTCTGTTTTCCTTTTGTCTATATGCAGTGAAGTTTCCCCAGAGAAGCCACTTCTGCCAGGCATCTTAGAGCTTTCCTAGTTATTACTGGTTTTACTCATCTGTACTGTGAAGCCAGTAGAGCAGGGACCTGCCTGGTACAGCCCTGTGCAGAACACACCTCTGTGTTTCCTTTCAGGGGACTCTGTGTAGATGCCCTCATCGAGCTGTCAGATGAAAATGCGGACTGGAAGCTCAGCTTCAATGAATTTCTCAAGTGCCTCAGCCCATCCTTCAACCCACCAGAGAAAAGTAGGAACTCCTTACTTATACTGGGGAACCAGAGGGCTCCTGGGAAAGGAGGAAAGAAAAGAGACCAGCTTTGGGCCAGACATCAGATGCTGTAACTCCGTTCCCAGAAATAACGTTGATATACGGCTGCCTCCTATCTGACAGCACCCCTTGTCCCTGCATTGTCAAAAGTACTGCTTTTTCTGTCCCAGAGCTCCCACTGCTCTTGTGATGAAAAAGGTTTGGATTTTAGAAGCAAGGGCATAGGTCAAAGGGATATGGTATGCTTGGAAGGTCAAGGCGTGTATTTAACAGTGCAGAGATAAATCATGTGAGGAGTTCACGTCTGGATGACTGAGGAAAGTCAGACCAGACCAAAGTCCTGCTATGCTCTCCCTTTCACACAGAGAGCCCCCCTGATGAACATCTCAAAGTTCACTATCCTTCCAAATCCTGCTTAGTGCTGCAGTTCACGTGGAAGCAGCTTAGTGTTCTGCTGACCAGGCATGCCTAGCCGTTCATCTAATTGTCTCCTCGGGGGGTGCTGGTCCAAAGGTGCTGGATTTGCATGCCACTGCGGTGGCACCGAGGAGCAGAGAGAGGCTGTGCTGCTTAGGCAGTATTAAGTTGAACTCTCTGTTGCCTATTTCACTGAAAACAAGCTGCACCTCCCCCAGAAAACATGATCATCTGGTTTTCACTTAACACCATCTTGGCCCTTCAGTTCTTTGGAGGCTTCGACTTAAACTTCTAATAGAGCTGTGAGAAGAAATGTGAGCTGAAATGAGAAACCTTTTTTCCTTCCTTCCTTCCTTTCTCAGATCATTTCCCCAACTTGTCCCCACCTGGAACAGGAATTGTTACAAAGTAACCACAACTTTTGCTTTGGGGGTTCCCTTCTGTGTGTAACAGGTTAGGACATTCAAACGAATCCAATATTGAGGTTTCATTTGGAACTGAGAAACTGAAACATGTTCTTTTGAGGAAGCAAAATGAAGTGTTTGATTTTCCCAGATTATTTTTTGGCTGATTTCACACACCAAAATCAGCATGAATGTTTCAGTCATTATGACACTTTTGGTGGTTAGGGGAAGGAAGGCCTCCTCCAAAACCATGTGCCTCTTCTCTCTCAAGTATGATGTCTTTAGCCTGATCATTATCTCACAACTCCCCTTGTTTTGTGCCTCTCTAGAGTGTGCCCTGGAAGATGAAACCTATGAGGATGGAGCAGAGACCCAGGTGGAATGCAACCGCTGCGTCTGTGCCTGTGGGAACTGGGTGTGCACTGCCATGACGTGTGAGGGTCCGTATCCTCTCCAGACAATTACTGTCTTTGGTTCTGTACAAAAGGAATTTTTGTTTTCTGTCTTTCTGAGGGCACCAGCTATCCAGATTTCTTCCCTCTCCAGCTCTTCCTCACCTTGTCTTCTTCTGCATCACTCTCCCATGCTCCATGTTGGCCAAACTTAAGCTGGTTTTGCTTTAGAGGTCAGAAAGTGTGTAACTGGATTGGGGGCAGTGTTGCTGGGGTTTGTAGTTTGGATTTGGATTTGGTTTGGATTTGGCACCAAACCTTCCAGACCAGAGCTACTCTGCATCCAGCTGGCTTTGGGCATGCACAGACCAGATAGGTCACTGTCTGCAACCATATGTGTAGGTGTGAGCAAGTCAGCTTTCCTCTGTGTGTGTCAGCATCCTCACTGCATCTGTGTTTATGGTATCTGTAAAGCAGGAGCTAGGGTCTTGTATTGCCCAAGAGAGGGGATAGGAGACTTCATCTAGTAACGTCAAGAAAGCACTTCAGTTCCTTGCCATAAGAACTGTAGAAGTAAAAATAATGATGATGATGGAGGTGGTTCACAGCATGGCAGGGTTGTTGATCTGTTTGTTCTTCCTCTGGAGGGTCCTTTTCAAACTTTCACAGCCATGTTACAGGTGCAGGAAGTCGTGGTGGGGTTGTGAACAGTGACTCTACATTTTGTGTTCTCACAGCTGCCGGTCCATGGCCAGTGGAAAGCCAGCTTTCTCCTGCCTTGGGAAATGTATGGGTGCTTTTCAAGGAGCCACGTCCCCCCTCCCAGCACCTCGCTGCATTTTTCTGTCCTTCTTCCCTAGAAACCAGGCCTTTGCATGAGCTTAGTTTTCAGTGCTGTGCGGGAGCTGTCAGCAGTATGTTAGTTCAGATCTATAGCCAGTTGCTTGGGCAGATGAAGATGAGAGGGGAACAGCAACAAGTACGGATAGAGTTTCTTTTACATTTACCTGGCCTTCTGCAGCAGAGGCTTCAGGATCACCTGAGCCCAGATTTGTCTGTGGCAGCAGGAACTCACCTCAGAAAAGATAACTGTTAAACTAATAGAGCTGCCGGAGGAGCTGTGAGTATGTCTCGGAGGTTAAGCAACCAAATGAGAGACTCTTTTTGCTGCCTCCCCAGAAACAACCATCAAAGTTGCTATGCAACACCCAGTCTTGCTGCAGAAGCATGCAATGGGATAACAATTCCTTGACTTTCTGCCCATGTTGGAGCAGCGGAGGAGTTAGAGGCCATTGTTAGAGGGATAATGAAACCAAAGAATCAGATCAGATACATCAGCAAGTTCCATCTCCACTGAGCAAAATTACCTCTTCATTAAGCATCAGTTATTGTACTTGGATAGCACTGAGCTTCCATTTATTCCCTACAAGAGGTCGAGACATTTGAACTAATTATAGGTGCTTCTTTTAAATATTAAGCGGCCTCTTCCCAGTGGTTTTATTATTTATCATGTGGCAGGGAAAGACGGGAACAGACTGGATACCCGTGTTCTGAAGTCCCCAGCAGCCACAAGGCCCATTCTCTTTCTAAGAAGCCAGCCCATACCTTCCTCCAGCAAAGCTTCCCTAAGCTTGAGGTGTGCTGTGGCCAGCCTGCCTCTTTTTGTTCCCTGTGGTTCAGCCTCTGAATTTTGCGTCCCCCATTTGTGATAACGCCGAACTCCATTTCTGTTGGCAGGGAAAAATGAGAAGGTGCCTGCTCAGAGACAGCGACCTGATCAAGACTTGACTGAGGAGGAGCTGGCCAGATACGTTCAGGAACTGCAGAAGCATCAGGTTAGCATGAGGCTGGGAAGGTCTGCTTGCACAAAGTCTCTCCTTGCTAGAGGGATTCCCTCTGCTTCTGACACTTGGAGACTCCTGGTAGAAGAGGGAGCACAGTAAAGGGGGGGTCCCTGTTGGCTCTGGGGACAAATACAGGTCTGGGGCTTTGACGTATAAGCCAGTGTTGGCACTGCTTGTGGGTGGACCAAAGGCTTCAGGGCACTTCCTTCCAGCTCCTGTGTCAGTGCAGAGCTTCACTTTTGTGCTCTCTTTCTCTAGGAGACAGCCGAGAAGACCAAGAGAATGAGCACCAAGGAGATGTAAGGGGCCTCCACACTGGAGGAGCCCAGGAGGATGGGCCCAACCTGCCGCCCTGTCCTCCAGTGCTGATCTCAGTATGCACAAGTGTCTGCTACAGTTTGCCCAGTCACAGATATTTACATTGTATAGCGATGGGTTATTTGTTTTGTAATACACAGAGAATGGGGCCAGGAAAGGGGAGCAGAGCCCACCTGTTCAGGGAGCTTCATTGCTGGGGCCTTGGAAGGCTGGGAGGGATGTACAGCAGCCTCTGGGACCCTTTCCCAGAGCAGACAGCTGCTCCCTCCAAGAGCTAACAGGGATTTCATGTTCCCCTGGATCTGGGGAAAGGAGGGAGGTCAGGGCTGGATAGAAAAGGGGGTCTTCAATCAATACAATTGTCAGCACCAGCCTTGGCTGTGGAAATAGAGGCCCGGCAGTTTTGTGGCTGAGCACATGTGCTGCAGGGCGTCATTAGCCAAGGACCTTGCCCTGCTCATCCTCACCTTTGGTTCAAGCCTCTCAAAGCTGGTCACCCTGGTGTGACACCTGGAAGTAGTGGTGCCATGCTGCTGGCATGAATCCAGCACGTTCCTCCTTTTGCTTTCCACTGGACTGTCCCCAGCAGTCCCTCCAGTACATTGTGGGCTCCAACACAACATGGTTCCTTTTGACCTCATCTCACTCTTGCTCTCCCTGCCCCCTCCTTAGAGGTGCTATTGTATTTTTTTCTTATCACATTCACATGCTGATTCCCCTTTTTGTTTTGGGATTTTTTTTTTTAATTACTTTTATTTCCTATGGTAGTAATTCAGCTTTTGTATGTTTTGTAGCTCTAGATCTTTCAAGGAAACCCAGCCTGTGGGTTTTTGGTATTGACAGTGCTGTAATGCCCATGCACAGTTTGTATCGCGCTGCACTCAGCCACCACAACCACCACAAGCAACTTGTGAGCCCTGCACTACAGGGTGTTTCTCACTGGGGATGGCAGTGTCCCCCGTGGGTAGAAGTGACAGGGCTGGATGTAGTTTCACCAGGCATGGATTGACACTGCAGTTCTGTAGCTCTTGCTCCCTTAGCTAGCATTGACCATGTACTCAGAGTCCATGCTCATGCCTCTCTAAATTGCCCAGAGGGAAGTGCCAAGTAGTTTAGAGACAGAGGGACCAGGCAGTCCCATTAGGAGGGCATTTTGAAATGCCTAACTATGTTGAAGGCTGGGCTGTTAGCCATCATCTTGGGCTTTCTGTCTCCCTCTGGGGTGAGGCAGCAGCATTCTTCTTTGATTCCAGGTCTGGGTTCGGAGTCAGGGCTGGAAGCCTCGTTACTGATGCATTTCACAGTGTCTCTGGTCAAACCACCTTTGACTACCCTCACATCCCTTCATGGGTCATTTTTGTATGACCTGTTTCTCAGAGCATTGGTCCGAGATGTAACTGAAATGCCGTTTCGTTGACAATCGCCTCTGTAGCCTCAAGCCCAACTGATTTTCTCCTGCAGTTGTCAAACATCCTTCATACACTCACACACCTGAACATCCTGTTTCCGTTTTCCCTTCATGTCCCTGCTGTGCATCCCAAGCAGTTGCACGTACCCTTGAGTTGAGGTGACTGCTTGTGACTTCCATCCTCCTGTTTGTGAGCAACTTCAGCATTGTTGGTAGCTGCCGTGCAGTCCCTAGTGCTTACTCAAGTGAAACTCCACTTGCATCTGCAAAAGCATGTTCTGCTTGAGTGAAGATCGGCAGTACTTTTGTCCCAACCTTCCCCTTTCTGCACAGTGCTTTCCTTGGAGAGGAAGAAGGAGTTGGTACCTAGCAAGCGTAGGCAAAGAAGAAAGCTTGGTGTCTCCTGTGGTCTCCGCCCATGAGCCAGATTTAGTTAAAGGCTGTCTGGTCTTTGAGCTGTTTTCCTGAAGTGAACCCAGAGGATTTCCATTCACTTTGGCAAAGGGCCACATTTCCAGCGAAAATCATCATCTCCCCCACCGTGCTCAGAGGTTTGGGTGTAATAAATACAGAAAAGAGCTGGTTCTTTTCCCATGAGGGTCTGGATTTGAGAATCTGTCACCTGTGAAGGTGAGGGGAATGAGTCCACAGGAGCTGAGGGTAGTGTGGACAATGCTACACTGGGACAGAGTCATTGTTTGTGTTCTGGTGGCACTGGATAAAGTGGTTGGTGGAATTAGGAGCACCCATTAGACATTCAACCCTCACTCCTCCCCAACAGTATGAGCGAAACAGCCTCATGCGCTGGATCTAGAGTCATGGGAACATTGTTCATAAATGTTTTGCTTTATTCTAACCCTGCTCTGAAAGGTAGTTTGTGCCTCCCAGCTAACTTCATTCCAGCTTGGATCATTCAAGTGCCTTAGAGAAAACACAACAGCTTGCCTTAAAGGCTTTCCCTGGATGGGGATCACATCTTATTGTCCAGTCAGGAGTATCTCCAACTGGGAGAAGCAGAGCATGTGCAGGAAGGGGAGGGAGGCTAATCCATGACTGAAGGGCTTCTATAAGCTGCATTATCTGATGTGTTCTCTACTCCCCTTCCTGTCTCCCGAGGATGGCTGTGGGGATGGCTGGAGAGGTGGGTGCTGGCAGTTGAGGTTTACAGCGCTGGCCCTGAAGGCAGAGGGATGGGCTGCTGTCTCGGGCAAGGCAAGCTGAGCTCTGAGGAGCTGTACAACATATCTTAGGAGAGCTGGGCAGCGGGGTGGGAGTGCAGTGAACATGCCTCTGCGGAAAGAGCTGCTGCCTGTGGAGCCTTTTCGTTCTTGTACCCTCAAAGGGAAAATGCAATTGTGGAGAGCGATGCCAGTTCTAAGGGCTACGGGACCCAAAGGGGACCGAAACGTCT